TACTTGACCATATAGTGGGAGGAACAATAACCACTCATTATTTTCCTGTGTGGCATGAACATGTGGCAGAAAATCCACCTCTCTTTAAATGCATGCGTGTAACCTGTGCGTAAGGGAAGGGCAGGTGAGAAGCAGCAGTTTGAAAGCAGGCGGTGTGGAAGCCTTGCCTTTAGCTTAAAATCTGTACTCAGCTCTCAGTAGTGCCAGGGCATGTTTTGTATAGACATCCTCAAGCAATAAGATAGAAATAGACCACTGCATTTCAATAGTCCATGTATCTGCTACTCAGAAAGTAGGGTTCCTGTTTGTCGTATGGCTATAGGGAATTGGAAGAGAAGAGGAGCTCTCTGAATATTGCATTCTGGGTCATCTCACTTCTTTGGTCCTTCAGTAGCAAAGGAGGCTCATAATATTTTGCTTTAATATGTTAAAGACAAAAAGTCTTGTAATTTCTGTACAGTGCCTTGCAAGAGTCTCTGAGTATGCCAACATTTGGTGACTAGCTGAAAAGGAAGAGATGGCTGATGGCTAGAAGACCCGTAAGGAAAAAAGCCCAAAAGCTCTCCACTGTGATGCTGGGTAGAGCTTTCATTTCCCAGCGAGTTCACAGTGAGTAAAGAAAAGCAAGTTGTTTCAACTTGGATCTAAATAGGGTAGTTTGGGATGTATCTGCAGTCTCAAGAGGTATTAACAAAGATTAAGCATTGAATGTAGGTATAATTTACCAACAGGAAGTTCTTCTGTGTAGGACAGTTGAAGGCAATATTATAGGAGTCTCTGTTTTTGTGCAAAAGTTTCTTCTGTGTGTAAAAGCTGGAGCTGAATGGCACTGGACAGATGACCCAGTTATAGTGTCAATCCTTTTGGTGTTTTGTTGTTTTTTTTTTGTCAGAATGACAGGAAATATACACTGGACATCTGAAAACAGTTCAGTAAAGTTTCAACACTACAACCTATTGCTACATTGTAGTTTATTGCACATTCTGATTATTTTTTTAAACATTTTTTTTAACACTGGTTTGTCTTAAACTTGAATCTTGCCTCAATGTCTGATACTATAATCTTTGATGCAAGGTTGTTTTTTAATTAAAAGTTATTTCTATATATATATATATACACATATATATATTGTTGTACGTAGTCTGAATTTGCTGGCCTCCTAGAAGCGATGAATCAATAGTGATGCTTCCTCTTGGCACAGAGACCTGCTCAGCCAAAGCAGGGCTTTGCAGGCACACAGATGCCAGTGGCACAAAGCTGTGCTGCCATACCAAAGCTGCACTGGTGCTCTGAGGCCAAGGTTGCCCCCAGCACCCATCTACAGAAGTGAGCTTTGCGTCTCATCCTGCACGTGCATCTGCTGCTAGGAAAAGCCTTCAGAACGCTGAATGCCACCAGTGTTTGCAGGGCTCTTCCACTCTGTGCAGCCCTTCAGTAAGTGGGTGTCCATCCTTACCCACTTCACTGTAAGGTCAGGGCTTCCTGCCCTGTGATTCCTGACACACGTGAGCAGTTCTGCAGTTCAGAGCTGGGACGGAGCCACAGCAGGTAAGGCAGCTTGCTAGCTGCCTGATGTGTCCTGAAGATGCAGTCAGGAAATGGAAACATTTCCAGCATTGCATGGGAAGAAGCAAGAGGAGGGGGGTTTTCCAGACCTATTTGAGGAGAGGGAGCTGAAGAGGGTTGAAATGTAAGAGACAGATGACCCAAGTTTGGTCAGACTCGCAGACTGTGAAGCTGCTCTGCGTGGCTGTACAGCACCCAGCTGTGGTGTCCCACTGCTGTACCCACTGAACCACTGTGCTGCTTTAAGGGTCAGCCTCCACTGTGCTGCTCTGAAGCAGCTGTTTATCTTGCCAGATGCAAGTCAGCATAAGCAGAATTCCCTTTGTCCTCTCTTCATATGCATTTGCTCAGCCATTGTGGGAAATATCACCTCACAACACAACAACAAAACACCTAGGCAAAGACAGGCTGAGCAGCCAGGAGACTGAAAAACATACTGAACAAACCATAAAAGTGCACATCTGGTCCTACCCCATCCATCCCTGTCCAAAGCCTTTCCCCTTACCCTCTGGAGCTCAGCTCACTCCACCTGCAGCACTGAGCTGCAACCACCCGCCTTGCACAGAGAGCTGCCCAAGCAGCCCCGGGGCTGGAGATGCCAGCAGTGCACAGAGCCTCCCATCAGGTGAGCAGCATGTGCAGGCACAGCGGGCAAAGGCCGGGGGGGGGAGGAGGGTGGCCAAGAGGAAGTGGCAGCTGCTTTTCTCATGTCATGGCAAGACCACCTTCAGCCACAACACTGGAAGCAGCGCAGCAGCTGTTACAAAGGCTGACTGTTACACACAAACATAAGCAGCAATCCCCTCTCCGAAAACTCAAGCGTTGCAGCTGCATAAAGAAAGCAGTTTCCCTGTCACCATTTTCAATAGACATATTCTGCTCCCTGCTGCTATGGGGGTTAAAGCACTTTGCCTCTGCATCCAGGTACCTTAGCAGAATGTAGGTACCAATACAAGCTTCTAAAACCCATTCAAACTAAAGCACACGTTTTTCTGAAGCTGTGCTTGGACCACACATCCAGTCCCAGCCTTGCTCAGGATGGGTCCAAGTGTCTTTACCTTGTCCTCCAGTGCTGACACTGCCTCTGCTCCTCAGCTCCCCTGGCTGCTGTCCCTGAGAGTTGCCCTCAGTTTCCTCCTTCCACTGTTGCCAAAATTCTGATCTGTCAGAGCACTGTAACAGTTCTGGTGTTTGCTGGGCCCTGTGGATACTAAGTAAGACTACTGGCTCTCCTGTTGGTGCTCAGCTGGAATCCTGCTGCTGGGGTGCCTCTGCAGTAGAAATACATTACCGAATACAGGAGGAGAGGCTTAAATGGCAACCTAACATACAACTTCCCTGTATGTATCAAGGCACTAAACCAGACGAGTGCTAGGCAGAAGAACAACCATTGCTACTGTTACTGCTAGAGATTGTGCAGCTCTGTGGTTACAATTAGCTTTAACTTGAGGCTTGTAAGAGGACACTGCCACAGTAACCAGCTGCACGGTGCATTCTGGATGGACTTACAGGGAAAGAAACAATTGAGCGATGTTCCTGTGTGTGTAGTGTATTTCACAGCACTGCTAAACCAAGACCCAGTGCAAGCACAAACTTGAACATTTAAACAGTGACCAAGTGACTACGGCATGTAAAGAAAACATACTGCATTGTTCTACGCTCAGAACGCAGCACAGTGCCTTCAGTTAAATAGCATGACTTTGGGCCTGTTTTTTTCCAAAGCAACGGAATGGTCTGATGACCCCTTCATCCCAGCTCCAGAGCAGCTGCAGGAGACAAACACTGCTTTCAACAGCATGAGAAGTCACGCTTCCAACTCCCGCGCTAACCCTGCATAGCTGGTTGTGTGCTGCTCAGCCTGCATTGCAGGTACCAGAGCTCTGGCTATTTCTACATGCACAGTGCACTGGACTCCACCCAGCTTCTTTCTAGTCCTAATGCACACACCAGCCACACAGATTATTACCTTGCCTAGCCAAGCTGCAGCTGCTGAGCTTTCTGCTGTTCCCCCAGGGCAGCAGACTGTGTGCAACCCTTCGGTCATTAGTCCAGGAAAGAAAAAATACTGCACAGAATACCATGGAAACAAACAAGTGGAAAGTATGAGAACTGCTCAGGCTGGTTACCAAGAGGACAGGTAAGCTGTTTCACAGTTAAAGAAATAAACACTTCTATCCCCTGCATTTCAACCTACATACAACGAAATCGCTTCTAAATCACTGACTTGGGTAAATGCATGAACTGAAGAGAGCATAGGTGAAGATAATGCATTTTAACTTCCTTCTACAGAATCCTGTCACTCGAATCAATATTTGAAAGGTAAAAAATACTCCCCAGTTTTCGGGACCTGGTAAAGATGTTTCACCAACTTGTTTGGCATTTGAACCACTTCTGTAGGTCCAGTACTTCCGTGCAGCAAATGCAAAACACAGAAGTGTTTCTGACAATCACGCACGGGATTCCTACACCTGAGTGCGTTTTTCCCAAACTATTCATTGTTCATAGCTTAAGGGAGACTCACCACAGCAGAAGTGTGTTTAATGCAGACAGTGGAAAAGTTTTGCAGGAACGCACAGACCAAATGACAAACACAGACAGCGAAAGGCAGGTTCATTAGTCTCCCACAAGGTAGCGGCCCGTGGCAGTGCTACACTCTTCTAGCAAGCAAAGATTGACTGAACTGCAGTTCAGCCAGCATTACAAGTTGTGCCACACAATTAGCCTCCACAGAATCAAGAAACAGGTTCAAACCATTGCATTTCCAACCCTGAAAGACAGCCAGACAGTTTTTCACTGCTGCTTGCTTCATTGCAGCGAAGGAATGATTCCTCTGTTCAGCAGCAACAAGTTTCCACGATTAATGTTCATCCAGCCCTCCCTTAGCATGAGAAACAAGGGTTTTCCTGTGCGCCCAGAGCCTTCTGGAGCACTGCTCGGGTAGGTCTCACCGATCCAGACACCGCTTCTGAGCAGCTTCTGAACACACATTCCTTAGCAGATTGATCACAGATCTCGGATCTGCGCTCTTCATAATGGCACTGCCAGACACAATCATATTTGCACCCGCCTGGAAGACATTAAACACCCGCTCAGTGACATGGGACACAAGCAAGGGCAGCGACCGACGCGAGGCCGAAGGACAGAGGAGCACCGCTCGCAGGCTCAGGCGCCGCGCCTCACTACTGCAGCTGCACTCCCCAGCAGTAAGTTCCTCATCCCCGCTCCTGTTACCTAAGCATACGAGGAACACCAGCTTTCGCTTCAGAGAGGCTTCAGGAGCCACAGCCGAAACGAGCGCGAGCTCAGGCCCCACACGACGCCGACATCGCCTGCCTCGCCGTTCCCTCCGACCGCAAAGCACCGCACGGCGGCTCCACCCGCGCCATTTCTCAGGGGCGGCGACGCCCCCGGGCCTCCCGAGCGCAGCTCCTCACCTCGGCACACTTGTGGATGGTGTCAGGCCCGACTCCTCCGTCCACCTCGATGTCCAGCGACGGGAACTGCGTCCTCAGCCACTGCACCTGAGGGCACACAGCGAGGGAGGCGCGGCGTCACCCCGGGCCGCGCCAGCGCCGAGAGCCCGGCACGAGCGGACGCCGGGCTCACCTTCGGCATCATGTCCTCCATGAACTTCTGCCCTCCGAAGCCCGGCTCCACCGTCATCACCAGGGCCACGTCGATCTGGTTGGCCAACGGCGCCAGCTGCTCCACCGCGGTGCCGGGTTTGATGGCCAGCCCCACCTGCCGGAGAGGAGAACGGTCGGGGAACGCGCTGCCCCCCGCGGCCCGGCGCGGCCCCCGGCCTCGCGCTCACCTTCATGCCGTTCTCGCGGATGTCCTTAATGAGCGCGCCGGGGCCGTCGGTGGCCTCCAGGTGGAAGGTGTACTGGTTGGCGCCAGCCACGGCCATGGGCTGCACCCACTGCTCGGGCCGGGCCACCATCATGTGCACGTCTGCGGGCGGCAGGCCGTCAGCGAGAGCCCCGCCGGGCCGCGCCGCGCCGCCCCCGCCCGCTTACCGAAGAAGGGCTCCCGGCCCAGCCGCTTGCGCAGGCTCTCCACCACGGGGTGCCCGAAGGTGATGTTCGGCACGAAGTGCCTTGGGGGCCGAACACACAGCACGTTACCGCCGCGCCGCCTCGCGCCGCCCCGCGCCCCGCCCGCCTCGCGCCGCGGCCGTTACCCGTCCATTACATCCAGGTGCAGGTAATCAGCCCCGCAGTCCAGCATGCGGCTGCATTCGGCGCCCAGCGCCGCCAGGTCGCTGTTGAGGATGGACGGCCCGATCCGGCACCCCGACGCCATGGCCGCCGCCGGGCCTCCGCGCGTGCGCCGCCGCCGCGAGGCGTCACGGGACGGGCGGCACCGCCCCCCACCGCGCCATCTTCGCCTCGGGCGGGACGGGCGGGGTCGCGGGACTCAACCGAACCGAGCGAACGAACCCGAACCAAATGGCACTTTGGACGGCGCGGCCCCGAGCGCGGCGCGGCGATGGCCGCGGCTGTCTGACGGCAGGCACGTGGGCCGGCCGCTCTGCGGGCCCGGGGCGGCGCGGCAGCAAACACACACACAGCGCTGTCCTTCTGCCTCTGTATTTAGGCCTCCGAACAAGGCGTGCATAAAATGGCGAGGCGGCAGGGCCGACGGAAACACGGACGGGTTCAACAGCACGCGCGCTTAAGGCCTCTAACGCTAAGGGAGCGGTGCCGTTTGCATTCGCAGCAGAAAGGCGGTGGTTGGGCACCAAAGGGCTGCAGCGCACGGCCAGGCACCGGGCCGACGGGAAACGACAGGGGGACGCAGCGCTGCACGTGGGAAACGGGCGTTCGAGTCGTGCCTGCGGCTTACTGCTGCAGGGTGACTGCTGGCAGAGGGAGACCTTAATGCAATTCGTATTATATACACTTAAATAAATCACACTCTTAATTGCTGCTGCAGTACACAGTGAGGCCCCCACTCTCATTCAAACTGGTTCTCCCTTCTCATTTCCAACACGAGATCACTGGATGAAATGCACCCCGAGCCCCGTGCTGCGCTGCAGCAGTTTGCTCAGCCTGCACCCGAGCTCTCCTGCTGCCCACCTGCACCCAGCCTAGCTGGGGCTGTCAAAGTGAGGCTGTGTTTTCTCTCACTTGTGCATCACTGTTAGCAGTAACACTTCTAGCCACTGGAATTTGAGCTAGGAGCTGATGCAAAGCGCTGTGGTCCAGGAGGCTGGTGCTGGCTGCAGCATGCTGAGGAGATAAGAAGGGCAGAGCATGGTGCGGTCAGCAAAGCAAGCAGCCTGTCGTTTGGGATGCCCACTGAGCAGCAGCTCTGAGGCTGCCACCCCATCATCTCCCCGTAATGCTTCCACCTCAGCTTTAAAGCTGCATTAGTGCACCACCTACAGATGGATGGACAGAGGGATAGATTAATAAAGAGATACAGTTTGCCCCCTGGGCAGTGGAAGCAGCACGTGCTCGGTGCCCCTGCGCTTGGGGTGGCTTTTGCTGTGGGCTGCGGGAGCTGAATGCACACAGGATCCCTGCTGACAGCTGCCATCAAACGTGAGCATTTGGCAGACGCCGGGCAGCACGGCCCAGGGCTGCACAGGTTGGAACACGACTGCAACCTGCTGCTGCCAGGCGCACACATCGTTTTTCACGACGCAGTAAAACGTGCACGCTGCCCCACAGCAGTGAGACAAGCGTTTGTAGGGCGGCATTTAAACCACTCCCAGGGAGATGCTGGCAAGAGACACGAGTCCTTCCCTTGGAGATGGAGAGGATATCGCTCCATCTCCGCACTCAGGCTGCTTTATGACGCACACGTTCAAATTACAAGCCCTAGGGGCCAAGCTGGCAATGAGCACATTTTGCAAACTCTCGCAGTGATCTGAAGCATTTTTCTCTGCACAATAACACCACAGTCACAAACCGCAGTATCTATGCTTCTCACAGACACTGGAAAAGGCTGCATGGGAGTCCCAAAGCACGGGGTGACTTTGGGCACTGCTTATGATTTCATGGCTTGATTCGCAGCTGGTTTGCAGTTTGTTCCTTAGCAGCTAACGGCTACATTCACATGTCCCAGTAATTCTGCCACAGATTTATAACACATACATGTCTTGCACTTGCAGCCATCAAGTTACACGCATAAAATGGAACCTTTTTAAATAGAATCTCAACATGCCAAAAATAGATTATTTCATCAAGTTTCTGCCCTGCAATATCCATCTTTTGTTTGCAAAGCACATATATATTTGTATGTTTGCATCTATAAGGAACACGAAAATACCATATATAAATATTTACTTTAAATCCCTATATCTAAAGTATGTAAGACAGCGTCAGTGGAGGAGTTGCAAGGTTCCAGAAGGTCCACGCACTCCTGATGTGGTTTCCTAGGTGGTTTTCCTTTTAAATTGTGTATCACTCAGTACACGAAAGCGGGACAGCGTGGAGCATGTATACCATCCATGGACCACTCACCCCCTGTCCATCTCTCTGCGCACAGCACGTGCATTCCTTTCTATGGTATGCACTGTATTTAGTTTTACAGAGCAAATATTTTTGTAGCAGGAGGGCAGCATCTTACAGAGTGGAATGACACCAACAGACAAAAGTAAACTCAACCAATGCCTGCAGTGCCAAAGAAATCAAAAAGAAAACTGCCTAATTGCTCCACGGTGCTTATCGTTGCTCTGCAAGTAAGAAACAATGGTCCCAGGCTTGTAAAAGTCAAGCTTTAGATTGGTACTTTTTGTCAGCGTTTTCACTGTCGCTACCAAGCTGTAAAAGCCTGGCATCCAGCTACTGCATAACCAGCCCTCTTCTCAACACAGCTACAAAAATAAATCTCAAAGAGGTCTCTCACTCTCTTTCCTTGCACAGTACCTCAGCCTGCTCACCCAGAGAGGCTGCCTATCACAGTGCACGGCTGCCACATCAGGGCTTTGTGGACCACACACATTTGCCCACACACCCGTACCCTGAGAATTTTGTACAAATTCTCTGCTCCTACCATCTTGCCCTGGATATAAATAGATTCCTCATACAGAACTTTGCCAGTCTATAGCAACGGGCTGTTAGCTCTATTCTGCTTTTGGATAATAAAGTGCTCTTAAATAGTTACTAGTTACCGGGGAACTCAAAGGAGAAGGTACAGTTTTCTCTTCCTCCTCCCACTCCTGTACCTCCCCAAGAGTTAAACATGAGATTCATCCAGGTCGACGTCCGTCTCCCCAAGCTCCACATGTGTGAAGCTGAAGTGAGTGGCCAGCAAGGGGTTTTCCATCCCGTTGTCCTCACTGATGTGAAGGACCGTGTCCCCGTGCTGCAGCAAGCTGGTGGTCTCCAGGCCAGCGTAGTCCTCGGTGTCAGAGAGCTGTGTGGGCGGCGTGCTCTGTGCTGTGGCTGGCCGGGACTCCATGCTCTCCTCTTTCTCCTTCTCAGCAGAAAGTGCCTCGCTCTGCAGGAGAGGAGAGCCAGTGGTTAGGCTCAGAGAAAGAGGGAGAGGGCAAGAAAAAAGAGCAAGGGAACATTTGGGAAATATTTTCTTATTCTGAACTACTGTTTTGCCATTAAGGGGCCAGGTAATTGCAGATTTGAAGTCCCTAACGTTCTACCCTTACAATTTTTGCTGGTGAATCAAATTTGTAGCAATAACCAGAAAAGTTGCCTGCTTTCAGTTTTTAACTCTTCGCCATTTCATTGTGAAGTATATCTTCAACAAGAGCTTCTTATACACATTCATGGCGAAGGCCATACACCCAAAAGACATGAGATGTCTGGGTGCATAAAGATCTCAGTGTCACAGTGCAGTCTCAGCGTGTTGAAATGGTGATCATGATTATCTCTGCACTGGGCTCAGTGGTGTCCAACACAGAGAGGTTGAGCTAAGCTCCTTTTGAAACATGATGCTGTTGACACAACCCCCCCTAAGTTTTTGCAGGAATCCTTCCTGAAGGACTCATTGCTCATAGAACGAGGTGCAAACCCCAGTCAAAATCTCACACAGCTCCACAGGGACTTGTGGGTCTGATGCGAAGATATAAAGAGAAGAAACAGGGATTTGCAAACTAAGAATCGTTGCAAAGGTAGAGAGGTGAGGGGTTGATAAAATTCAGCCTAAAAAAAAGCCAGTCTTTACTCATCAGCAGGTTTTCATCATACGGCTGTAGTACAGCTTTATCTATCTGCCCTGCAACTTAACTTGTTGAGGCTGAGACGAAGCAGCAGGCACACACACGATACAACTGTCGGACATGCTACCTGGCCAGCGGTCTGGCTATGGAGATCAGCTACAACGACGGCAGGTGAGGACGTCAGCACAGGTTTACTTGGTGCTTCCTGCTTGCTGCTCTCCTGGGGGCTGCTGCGGCTGCAGCCCTGCTGCTGGGCAGCTGAAGCTGGGGATTTGGCTGGGGATGGTGGTGTTGCCTCTGGCTGGGCTTCAGTGAAAGTCACCGAACGCTTCTGCTCCGCTGAGAGGTGCAAAGCCCAGAAAACTGAATATTAAGATGCTGTAATTTGGGAAGGAAAACAAAAGCAGACAGCATCCCCAGAGTTTCTACAAGCAAGACAGGATTCCTGATTCATTCCACCTTTATAAGCTGTCTAAATGGCATCCAATTTAAAAGCCTTTTATTCGTAGGCTTCCTCTCAAGCCATAGCAAGAGTCATGGTTTTTCTGAAGACTACTGACCCTACCTGTCTTTGTCATGGCTCGATGAGCCACCCGAGACATCTTCCCATCCCTGAATGTAGTGTATTGGATTCCCATGTAGGGCATAAACATAGACACTTTGCAGGAAATTTGAGAAAAGAAAGAGAGGAGCTGACTGCCTCTCATTCCTGCCACTGACTGAGTCCACTACTGGGACTAAAACTCAACCATGAAACTAATAGCCTTGCTCTCACCCTTCGTTATTCCAGTAGAAGTTTTATGTTCCAAACATCTCCAGCAGCACTGTTAGCCCAACAGTCCTGGCTGAGCAATTAGGAACCCGGGAAGTTCTCAATAGACCTTTGCTCTTCCACGTGTTTCCTCCCAAGTTAATTGCTCACTTCAGATGTGCAGAATGCAGCTACCTGTTCTGCTCGACAGTGCTGACTCGTATTCATTTTCATATACAGCCCTTAAAACTCTGAACTGCAAAGCTTCCAAATGGTGGAAATTTTCTTTCTTCCACTCTCACTAGCATTTTCAAAATAGGCACGTCTGGAGGTTTTGGACAAGCAATGGAGGACACCTGTACCCTAAATTCTCCACAGCTTTAAGAAACATGATCATTGTCCAGTCCAGCTTCACCTTGCTGGCTTTTGGAG